ATGTACCACGTTATAACCATAACCTACCACAATTTTTAAGTAATTCATTGACCTAATTATATTTTCTTTTATTGTCATAAGTAGAAACATTTTTGACTTTTTTTAGTAAATTTTTTGTAATATCATATTACACTATATTGTACTTTGTTATAATTTATGTTTTTTCTTTTGATTCACTTTTGTTTGTTATACTTAAAATTTCTAATTTTGCTGCATCAGCAGTTATGTATTTATTGTTTGTATTTATTGTTTCCTGTATTAAGTATAAGCAATTTTTTTGTATTTTGTGTGTAATAAGTTCTTTTTGTAAATTAATATAAATTATGTTAGCACCTTGTTTGGTGTAAATAAATAAAATAAAAAATAAAATTATTATTATTATTATTGCTATTATTATTATTATTATTATTATTATTATTATTATTATTATTATTATTATTATTATTATTATTATTATTATTATTATTATTATTGCTATTATTATTATTATTATTATTATTATTATTATTATTATTATTATTATTATTATTATTACTTTTAGTATTATTACTATTATTATTATTATTATTATTATTATTATTATTATTATTAATATTACTATTTGTATTATTATCATTATTATTATTATTATCATTATTATTATTATTATTATTATTATTATTATTATTATTACTATTATTAGTATTATTACTATTATTATTATTATTATTATTATCATTATTAATAGAATTATTATTATGATTATTATTATTATTATTATTATTATTACTTTCAGTGTTACTACTATTATTATTTTTATTATTATTATTATCATTTTAATTATTACTATCATTATTATTATTAGTATTATTGTTATTATAATTGTTATTATTATTATTATTGTTATTATTATTATAATTGCTATTAGTATTATTACTATCATTAATATTATTATTAATATTATTATAATTATTATTATTATTATTATTATTATTGTTATTATTGTTATTATTTTTATTATTATTACTATTATTATTATTATTATTATTATTACATTTAGTATTATTACTATTATTATTATTATTATTATTATTATTATAATTATTATTAGTATTATTATTATTATTATAACAATTATATTGATTATTATTATTATTATTATTGCTTTTAGTATTATTACTATTATTATTATTATTATTAGTATTAGTATTATCGTTATAAGAATTGTATTTATTACTATTATTATTAATATTATTATTATTATTATTATTATTATTATTATTATTATTTTTATGGGTATTATTATTATTATTATTATTTTTATTGTTATTATTATTATTATCATTATTATTATTATTATTATTACCTTTAGTATTATTGTTATTACTATTATTATAATTATTATTATTATTATTATTATTATTATTATTATCACAACGCGTTGGTTTTAGAACTACCCTATTCCAACCATAAGTTCTCAAATACTTACAATAACGAAATTGTACATGATTTTATGAACGCTGATTACCACGGTATCAATTATGCCCTTAGTATAATTGATTGGGAAACGTTGTTGGAGCAGCATAATTTAGATAATATTATCTATGATTTTTATTCCATTATCTTTTGAAGTGATTGACAACCATGTTCCGAAAATCCGTAGAAAAGACAATTTAAAAGAACCTTGGTTAGACCGTAATTTAAGACATTTACGCAACCGGAGAAATAAATTGTACCATAAAATTAAGCACTCTGGTAATGACAACACTCACTTATAAATGATTATAATGAGTTGGCGAATGAATTTAAGATTAACTCAATAATGAGCAACCCTAAAAAGTTTTTCGACTTCGTTAACACTAAACGTAAATCATCAGGTTACCCGATTTCGATGTGTATGAATGGCAAAATGTCTTCATCTCCAACGGAAATTTGTAACTTTTTTGCTGACAACTTCCAGCAAATTTATCGCCCTGAGTTACCCTCTAATAATGTTAATTTCAATCCTGCACTCCTTGTTAATAATACCAACCCGCTTTTCGAATACTTTCATTTATCGGTAGAAAATGTTTTTCAGGGCATCAGTAGTCTAGACGTTAAGAAGGGATCTGGTCCTGACCTTCTGCCACCAATATTTCTTTACAATTGTCGCTACACCCTGTCAAACCCTCTTACCTCAATATTTAACAGATCTATATCCACCGGAATTTTTCCATCAGCTTGGAAAAATTCGTATCTAATACTAATTCACAAAAAAGGTGACAAAACAGCGATAGAAAACTACAGAGGTATTGCTATTCAGTCTGCTATCCCAAAATTATTTGAAAAATTAGTTACTGATATACTTGCACCGGTCATCAATCCATTATTAAATAACGAGCAACATGGCTTTAGGACTGGTCGCTCGACAACCTAAAATCTTGCAGTTTTCACATCTGACGTTCTTTCATTAATGAAGAAAGGTTTTCAAGTTGATACGATATATACGGATTTCAGTAAAGCTTTTGACCGCATCGATCACAATACCTTGGAGCGTAAACTAGTTAATTTTGGTTTTAAGTTCCCTCTACTAGGCTGGCTCAAATCTTACTTCTCGGGGAGAACCCAATTCGTTAAATTCCAGGGGATTAAATCTAAACCTATTCGCGTTCATTCCGGTGTTCCTCAAAGAAGTCATCTAGGCCCTATTCTTTTCAATGTCTTTATTTCTGACCTCTCTCATTGTCTATCGGGTATTTCTCATCTAACCTACGCTGATGATTTAAAAATGTACCACGTTATAACCATAACCTACCACAATTTTTAAGTAATTCATTGACCTAATTATATTTTCTTTTATTGTCATAAGTAGAAACATTTTTGACTTTTTTTAGTAAATTTTTTGTAATATCATATTACACTATATTGTACTTTGTTATAATTTATGTTTTTTCTTTTGATTCACTTTTGTTTGTTATACTTAAAATTTCTAATTTTGCTGCATCAGCAGTTATGTATTTATTGTTTGTATTTATTGTTTCCTGTATTAAGTATAAGCAATTTTTTTGTATTTTGTGTGTAATAAGTTCTTTTTGTAAATTAATATAAATTATGTTAGCACCTTGTTTGGTGTAAATAAATAAAATAAAAAATAAAATTATTATTATTATTATTGCTATTATTATTATTATTATTATTATTATTATTATTATTATTATTATTATTATTATTGCTATTATTATTATTATTATTATTATTATTATTATTATTATTATTATTATTATTATTATTATTATTATTATTATTATTACTTTTAGTATTATTACTATTATTATTATTATTATTATTATTATTATTAATATTACTATTTGTATTATTATCATTATTATTATTATTATCATTATTATTATTATTATTATTATTATTATTATTATTATTACTATTATTAGTATTATTACTATTATTATTATTATTATTATTATTATTATCATTATTAATAGAATTATTATTATGATTATTATTATTATTATTATTATTATTACTTTCAGTGTTACTACTATTATTATTTTTATTATTATTATTATCATTTTAATTATTACTATCATTATTATTATTAGTATTATTGTTATTATAATTGTTATTATTATTATTATTGTTATTATTATTATAATTGCTATTAGTATTATTACTATCATTAATATTATTATTAATATTATTATAATTATTATTATTATTATTATTATTATTGTTATTATTGTTATTATTTTTATTATTATTACTATTATTATTATTATTATTATTATTACATTTAGTATTATTACTATTATTATTATTATTATTATTATTATTATTATAATTATTATTAGTATTATTATTATTATTATTATAACAATTATATTGATTATTATTATTATTATTATTGCTTTTAGTATTATTACTATTATTATTATTATTATTAGTATTAGTATTATCGTTATAAGAATTGTATTTATTACTATTATTATTAATATTATTATTATTATTATTATTATTATTATTATTATTATTATTATTATTATTATTATTATTATTATTTTTATGGGTATTATTATTATTATTATTATTTTTATTGTTATTATTATTATTATCATTATTATTATTATTATTATTACCTTTAGTATTATTGTTATTACTAATAATTATTATTATTATTATTATTATTATTATTATTATTATTATTATTATTATTATTATTATTATTATTATCACAACGCGTTGGTTTTAGAACTACCCTATTCCAACCATAAGTTCTCAAATACTTACAATAACGAAATTGTACATGATTTTATGAACGCTGATTACCACGGTATCAATTATGCCCTTAGTATAATTGATTGGGAAACGTTGTTGGAGCAGCATAATTTAGATAATATTATCTATGATTTTTATTCCATTATCTTTTGAAGTGATTGACAACCATGTTCCGAAAATCCGTAGAAAAGACAATTTAAAAGAACCTTGGTTAGACCGTAATTTAAGACATTTACGCAACCGGAGAAATAAATTGTACCATAAAATTAAGCACTCTGGTAATGACAACACTCACTTATAAATGATTATAATGAGTTGGCGAATGAATTTAAGATTAACTCAATAATGAGCAACCCTAAAAAGTTTTTCGACTTCGTTAACACTAAACGTAAATCATCAGGTTACCCGATTTCGATGTGTATGAATGGCAAAATGTCTTCATCTCCAACGGAAATTTGTAACTTTTTTGCTGACAACTTCCAGCAAATTTATCGCCCTGAGTTACCCTCTAATAATGTTAATTTCAATCCTGCACTCCTTGTTAATAATACCAACCCGCTTTTCGAATACTTTCATTTATCGGTAGAAAATGTTTTTCAGGGCATCAGTAGTCTAGACGTTAAGAAGGGATCTGGTCCTGACCTTCTGCCACCAATATTTCTTTACAATTGTCGCTACACCCTGTCAAACCCTCTTACCTCAATATTTAACAGATCTATATCCACCGGAATTTTTCCATCAGCTTGGAAAAATTCGTATCTGATACTAATTCACAAAAAAGGTGACAAAACAGCGATAGAAAACTACAGAGGTATTGCTATTCAGTCTGCTATCCCAAAATTATTTGAAAAATTAGTTACTGATATACTTGCACCGGTCATCAATCCATTATTAAATAACGAGCAACATGGCTTTAGGACTGGTCGCTCGACAACCTAAAATCTTGCAGTTTTCACATCTGACGTTCTTTCATTAATGAAGAAAGGTTTTCAAGTTGATACGATATATACGGATTTCAGTAAAGCTTTTGACCGCATCGATCACAATACCTTGGAGCGTAAACTAGTTAATTTTGGTTTTAAGTTCCCTCTACTAGGCTGGCTCAAATCTTACTTCTCGGGGAGAACCCAATTCGTTAAATTCCAGGGGATTAAATCTAAACCTATTCGCGTTCATTCCGGTGTTCCTCAAAGAAGTCATCTAGGCCCTATTCTTTTCAATGTCTTTATTTCTGACCTCTCTCATTGTCTATCGGGTATTTCTCATCTAACCTACGCTGATGATTTAAAAATGTACCACGTTATAACCATAACCTACCACAATTTTTAAGTAATTCATTGACCTAATTATATTTTCTTTTATTGTCATAAGTAGAAACATTTTTGACTTTTTTTAGTAAATTTTTTGTAATATCATATTACACTATATTGTACTTTGTTATAATTTATGTTTTTTCTTTTGATTCACTTTTGTTTGTTATACTTAAAATTTCCAATTTTGCTGCATCAGCAGTTATGTATTTATTGTTTGTATTTATTGTTTCCTGTATTAAGTATAAGCAATTTTTTTGTATTTTGTGTGTAATAAGTTTTTTTTGTAAATTAATATAAATTATGTTAGCACCTTGTTTGGTGTAAATAAATAAAATAAAAAATAAAATTATTATTATTATTATTGCTATTATTATTATTATTATTATTATTATTATTGCTATTATTATTATTATTATTATAATTATTATTATTATTATTATTATTATTATTATTGTTATTATTATTATTACTTTTAGTATTATTACTATTATTATTATTATTATTATTATTATTATTATTATTATTATTATTATTATTATTATTATTATTATTATTATTATTATTATTATTATTATTATTAATATTACTATTTGTATTATTATCATTATTATTATTATTATTATTATTACTATTATTAGTATTATTACTATTATTATTATTATTATTATTATTATTATTATTATTATTATTATTATTATTATTATTATTATTACTTTCAGTATTACTACTATTATTATTTTTATTATTATTATTATCATTTTAATTATTACTATCATTATTATTATATGTATTATTATTATTATAATTGTTATTATTACTATTATTGTTATTATTATTATAATTGCTATTAGTATTATTACTATCATTAATATTATTATTAATATTATTATAATTATTATTATTATTATTATTGTTATTATTGTTATTATTTTTATTATTATTACTATTATTATTATTATTATTATTATTATTATTACATTTAGTATTATTACTATTATGATTATTATTATTATTATTATTATAATTATTATTAATATTATTACTATTATTATTATAACAATTATATTGATTATTATTATTATCATTATTGCTTTTAGTATTATTACTATTATTATTATTATTATTAGTATTAGTATTATCGTTATAAGAATTGTATTTATTACTATTATTATTAATATTATTATTATTATTATTATTATTATTATTTTTATTGGTATTATTATTATTATTATTATTATTATTATTATTATTATTATTTTTATTGTTATTATTATTATTATTATCATTATTATTATTATTATTACTTTTAGTATTATTGTTATTATTATTATTATTATTATTATTAGTATTATTACTATTATTATTATTATTATTATTATTAATATTATTATTATTATTATTATTATTATTATTATTACTATTAGTATTATTATTATTATTACTTTTAGTATTTTTACTATTATTATTATTATTAGTATTAGTATTATTATTATAAGAATTGTATTTATTACTATTATTATTTTTATTATTATTACTATTTGTATTATTACTATTCCTATTATTATTATTGTTATTATTATTACTATTTGTATTATTACTATTATTATTATTATTATTATTATAATTATTATTAGAATTATTATTATTATTATTATAACAATTATGTTATAATAATAATAATAATAATTCTTAAAACGCTTTTCGAATACTTTCATTTATCGGTAGAAAATGTTTTTCAGGGCATCAGTAGTCTAGACGTTAAGAAGGGATCTGGTCCTGACCTTCTGCCACCAATATTTCTTTACAATTGTCGCTACACCCTGTCAAACCCTCT